AACTGCTGCGGTTGTTGTTAAGTGCTGTCGATTTGGTTCTGACTCATAGCGACCCAGTATAGAGTTTCCAAGGAGAAGCTGGTGAGTTTCAACCGCCAACCTTGCGGTCCAGTGCTGATCCTACAGCGCCACACAGCGCCACACCTAGGGAAGTATACAGTCCCAGTCCTGGGTACCAATCAAACCGCAGAAAAGAACACGGCTGTTTTTCTCACCTGTTTCCTCACTCTCCCAAGTTCTCTCTGCATCCTCCCCGCTGTACCCTGCTTTGGATTTTCTGGGGCACGATGATCAGGAGCAAAGCTTCCTTGGGACCAGTGGCTTCTTGGAAGCAGACCTGTCAGAAGCGGAGGTGACAGGCCTCTGGGTCCTGCTGGGTCGAGTGCAGGCAACTCCTGGCTTTAGACGTAGGTGCGTCTATGGTTTCACTACTCCGCTCCTGGGCACCGAAGCCCGAAGCTATCTTTCAGCTACCGGAGTGCCTTGGCCAGCGGCGCCAGCTTGTGAAGGCATCCGCGCCCTGTGCAAGGATGGCCGGCATTGCAGGAGCCGGCGGGTCCAGGGCCCCACGTCCCTGTCGAGGAACACAACTCCAGACTGGGAGCAGTCTGGGATGCCACAGCGACTGCTCTCTGTCCTGCTTCCCCAGGGTTTCCCGGAGACAGTGCCTCACTGACATCTCTTCTCTAGGTCTTGGTCCCAAACCGGAAGTCTAGCACGACAGTGTGGCATTCACAGACAAACTGCGCCTGCTTGGAGTAAGGTCTGGGACTACTGCTCCCGAAAGACCCCACCGCATTTGGCGTCCATTGAATCGGTTCTCGCGAATTCCTACCAATCAAGAGGGCGAATGTGAAATCAGGGGCGGGGCAAGTGAGGGGACCCTTTGGGCGAACCTGAAATTCAAGAGACCCCAGGTGGGAGCTATGGTGTTCTTGGGAAAACTATAGCTCAGGTTTTCCCAAGAACAAAGTAACTAGCAAATCTAAGGCCGGTGTGACTACGGGCAACCAGTTGGAATTTCCAGGGAGGCTTATTAAAATGCAAAGCTCGGAGCCCATGAGAGACTCAATACATCAGTTTCAGGGTGGAGGGCGGAAATCTGAATTTTGAACAAATTCCCCCAAGAAATTCTCCGCAAATAGCGAGGTTTACGGCTCATTGGCTCCTCATAACGGATTTAAAGGAGGTTCGGGGTAGGAACTCACACTTTGACCGCGCCCCTGGCCGCCCCGCTCACTGGGGCCGTGAGACCGGAAACGCTGACCCGTCCCAAAGCCACTGCAGACCCGGCAGAGGTCTGACTCTCAACCCCACCTTCATTAGTACCCACGTGGCCTGGGCGGGCGGCGCGGGGCCCGCCGGGAGATGTAGTCCACAGTTCAGCTCTGCGCCTGCGCCCTGGACAGTTGCAGCGAACGTGGGTGAGCTGTGGGTGCTGAGTCGGTGAGTCCCGGAGCAGCACGGAGGGCGTGGCCGTCCCTAGGGCGCGGGCGCGGGAGCTGGTTGGCAGGGTTCCCTCCGCGGGCGGAATCCGGCCACGCAAAGTGTCCGCCTCCAGCCTTAACCCGTTTGGCGGGCACAGTAGGGAGCGGCTGGCGACGAGCCCCTAACCGGCCAGGTCCTGGCTGCCGCTCCCAGCCCCTTGGCCGGGCCTTCCCGGGATTTCTCCAGGGCGGGTGGGCGCCCCTCGCGGCGGCGGGAAGCCACCAAGGAGCGCGCGGAACCGCACCACCCACCGACATCAGATTTTAAACCAGATTTTTAACTTTTCTGGAAGGTGTCGCTTTCGTCGTTCCTCAAGTAATCCTCTCTGCACACATGCTTTCTTCTTTGGTCCTGTGGGGGTGGGTCTTTACAGGAGTAGTGGGATAGAGGATTTGGGGAAGAAGCCACTAGTCTTGCATGAAGGGGTCGTTCAACTTGGAGCGGATAATGAACAGAGCCCAAGAATGGTCCATTTGGCGGTGGATGTGGCTGCAGGCTTGTATGGCGAAGGGAGGGCTATTGAGCTGAGAGGCCCAGAGGGCCAACGGGGGGGGGGGGGGGGTGGTCCACAGTCCAGGTCAGGACCTTTCCCAGATGCCCTCAGGCGGCGGTGAGGTGCCTGGGCTTTAGAAGGTGGGCGCTTCAAAAGAACAACCAGTAACTTAACTTTATGCCAGGCTCGCTGCAATTGCAGCTGGAGAGTAATTTTCATAAATACAGGCAGTACCAGGCCAGTTGGATAACTTTTTTGTTGTTGTCTAGTTTTAATTATTACTGTTTCTTGTTATAAGTATCTTTATAAATCATGACATTGAACAGTTGTATGTAGTACGTATTACTAGTGATAAGATGTACTAAAAAAAAAAAAAAAGGTAGTAGATGGTTTAAGTACATGCTGTTATTGTTCTCATATTACAGCCCACGACACTGGGTGTCAGTTGAGTCATTTGCCCAAGGCCACACAGCTAGCAGGTTACTGAAACCTGGATATGACTTTCTAAATTTCAAGCTATCTTCATGGTAAAAGGTAAAATGGGGGCAGTTTGTCTGTTTTGGATGAGTAGCTGGGAAGAGAATCCTGAGTTGTGTTTGTTCGTTTTCCCTTGTTCCACTCTAGGAAAGAAGACAACATAAGCTATCTCAGCAGATGCAGACACAAAAGGCTCATAGCACAAGGGCTCTTATTGTTGTGTGCCACCAAGTTGATCCCGACTTATAGTGATCCTGTCTAGGGTTTCC